TTTTTTTTTTTTTTTTTTTGAATTTTGTTCTTAAATTGTTTTTTTATTTTATTTTTTATTTAGGAATAAACTGGAAGTCTAAAGAATCTCTTAAATTTTATTAAAAAAAAACCACTCGAAAGCATCTTATTGCTTTTCTTACAATATTAATAACCATTTTTGTTTTGGGTTTTATTTGGTGAGTAGGAAAAAGTAAGGCATAGAGATAGGTATTGTCGCATTCCATCAATGGACCACATTTTTCAAACATGTCCCTGACCCAAAATCTCATTTCAATTTGTCATATAAACATTACGATGATATACCAAACGAGAGACATAAAAAAATTAGAAGTTAAATCATCTTGAGTCAGGACCTTTTTTAAAATAGAGATTAATAAAAAGTCAATCGGGAGTGGCGTACAATGCCGCCAAATTTGCAGCCAAGAAAAAATGGAAGGGTGACGGTTGATACATATATATATATACACACCCGCAATAGAGTTGTACAGTTTTTGTGGTACCAATTACAAAATTCCCAAAAATGACAGAGGAAGTATACAACAAAAACAAGACGTCAAGATTGGTACACAGCGCAGCACTAAGCCAAAAGCCAAAAGCCAAAAGCCAATAGCCAATAGCCAATAGCCAATAGCCAATAGCCAAGAGCAGCCTCTTCCCTTTTGTGGGCTCTATAAATTCTTCTTCACGCTTCCATTTTCTCATTCCCTCTCTCTCTCTCTCTCTCTCTCTCTCTGCAAAATATATATATAAAAACTTCATCTTTGTTCCCCCCTCAACTGCTTGACAATGGCAACCTTCCCTCCTCCTCTTCTTCCTCTTGCTGTTTTTGTGCTCTCAAATCTGTTGGTCCCCATAACTCCCAACTCAGAAGGTAATCAACCTACCCCTTCAAATAAACTAAACTCATTGTTTCTTGAACTAATGATGGGGCAGTGCTGGGATGAACATAGGGGATGCTTTGTACGCCTTGAGGAGATCAGTGAAGGATCCAAACAATGTGTTACAGAGCTGGGATCCAACTCTTGTTGACCCTTGTACTTGGTTCCATGTCACTTGTGACTCTGCTAACCGCGTCACTCGCCTGTAAATGCCTTCTTTTTCTCCACTTTCTACCAAGCCCCTTTTGTGTTCCAACTCTTTTGACACACATGTCCTGTTTGTGTTGCAGCGATCTTGGAAATGCAAAGTTGTCTGGCAACTTGGTTCCTGAGTTGGGGAATCTC